AAGGGATATAATTATAATAATATTTTATGATCCAGACATTTTCCTTCCTCCAAAACCTTAGGTCATTATACAATCTTCCTCAGACTCAGCTCTCTAATTCTTAAGGTGAGAAAAATCAGTAGTACCTACTTAATAATAGTATCAATATATGTGAATCACTTAAAACAATACCTGGTACATGGTAAACAGTAATGAGTAGCTGTTTTATTGGTATTACTCACCTTCAACCAATTTTCTTATTTGAGCCATCATGTGATTATGGGCATTACCTATTTTCCACAACATTTTTAAAAAGTTTGTCAAATAGATGAAGAATCCTTGTCTATTTTATTCATAGTACGAGATTTGAATAATTAAACCAAGCATTATATGACTGCAAATTGATCCATGTATTCATAGTTGTTCTAGGGAACAAGTAACAGATTCTGACAAATCTGCAAATAGCCAGGTTTTAGTTAAGGCCAGGATAAGGAAGGATTATTCAGCTAAACTTCTGAAGATATAAGACATGTTTGGTGATTGTAGAACAGAGATTCCAGAAAGCTTGCATTAGCTTTGCTTTGGCAGTCTTGCCAGACTTAGTACCTATTCTTTTCGGTTTTTTAAAATCATTTTATTCTAGGAAAAAAATTCATACACTTTGAAGAATTATGGAAATGTAAGCTCTGTATTTTTATTAAGGGATATAATCAATAATTTACACATAAGTTTCTAACTTACTAGGACTAACTCAGAGAAATTACAAAGAAATACGTTCCTCCTCTGCTCATAATTATGAGATCCTACATATCAGAAATTCTTCAATTTTTTTCTCTTTTCTAGAATAATGTGCTTAAGTTAATTTTGAAGTGGTCAGATTGTCTTAAACAAAAGCTATCATACAGTGGATTATTCATCTGACAACTTTTCATCTTTATTCCTTTAGTCTATGATGATAACATCAATATTAGTGCTAAGAATGGGCACTTATTAAATCCTTACTTTATGCCAAAAATTAGTCTGCACATTAATTAGCTAATCCCTATTATAACACTCAGAGGCAAGTTACAGCTATCATTCCCATTTTGTATATAGGAAAGCTGAGAGTTTAAACAATTTACTCACTATCATAAGAATGATCATTTGAACATAGGCAGTCAAACTTCAGATAAGAAACTTATTCTAATTTGTTTTTCTGGACAACATGCATTCATTTGGAAACTCTATACACTCATAACAATATTTCCATTTACCTTGGACTTCAATATTTGCTTAATCAATGTTTTTCTGTCATTTCCAGACTGAGTGTTCTTTTCATAGTTAGAAAAGTTAGAAGCAAAATAACAGAGCTGAGCATTTTCTCTGTTAGGACTTTCTGCCTCAAACTGAGTCCATGATTTTAGCCACTTCTTCCAAAATATCCATCATTCTCATTTTATTATTAACCCTGGACCAATTCATATTTCCTCAGTTTCTGAGACCTGGGGGAAAAAAAATCAGTAACGATGTGGACCTGGGTCACTAAATATATAAGATTTAAAACTTTCGTTGTTTTTATGGGTAGTTATTTCCTTTCTGCATACAATACTGTGACTAAAGTCTTTAAGTATCTATTCAAGTCCAACATTCACATCTCCTTATTTGTCCCTTCTTCCAAGGAAGAAGACCTTGCTTTCTGTGTCAGAGTGAAACGAGAGCAGAATATGGTGAATTGTCACCAAATGACATCATTTCTCAGCCAGCATGTCCTTTTCTTCTGTGCACACAAGGGATGTTAGTGTACGATATATAGATCCCAGAATAGTTATTGAGTAAATTTTTAGATTATTTTTACATTCAATTAGTTTTAGATTCTAGACCAATACAATTATTAAAAGCACAAACTCTAAAGCTGGACTGCTTGGGTTCAAATATGGATACAATACTTGCTAGCTGTTTGGTCATGAATGAATAGGTTTTTGTTTAACCAAAACCTATTGTTTTGCGACTCAGATTCAACATCTGCAAAACTAGGATAATAATTGTACTAATCATATTGGGTTATTACAGGTTGAGCATAGCTTATCCCAAAATCGAAAACTTGGCATGCTTTAAGATCCAAACCTTTGAGCTCTAACATGATGCCACAAGTGGAAAATTCCACACAAAAGTACTTAACACAAACTGTGTTTCATGCACAAAATCATTAAAAATATTTTATAAAATAACCTTCAGGATGTGTATAAAATATATATGAAACATAAATGAATTGTGTTTACATTAGGGTCCCATTCCCAAGATATCTCATAATGTATATGCAAATATTCCAAAATCTGAAAATATCTGAAATCGGAAACGCTTCTGGCCCCAAGCTTTTCAGATACTCAATCTGTATAAGGACTAAGTGAGTAAATAAGTGCAGACTGCTTGGAACAGCACCCATCACATAATAAGTAAAGTGGTAATTGTTATTTTAAGTATTTGTCTTTCAAAAATCAATATTGAGTTTCTTCTTTTCTATGCAGTTGTCTGTTTCCCCATGTGGAGTTGTTACTCCTCTGCATCTGTAATTCCATAGTTCCTTGCATTTTGGTTTTATTATAGTACTTACTACCTTAGAGTATACCCAACACTGGAGTACAGTAAACATCTTAAGGGCAGAAATTGTATCTTATCTTTGTACATAGACCACTCAGCTTGGGGACCCAAAATATTATTGAGTGAACTAATTAAAATGAAATTATAAAACTAGTTCTTATTTATAACTGGAAAGTAAATATAATATTATTAATGTGGAGTAGTTTAACTCTTCTTTTTTTTTTATTTTATTTTTTTTATTTTTATTTTTTTTTGTTTGTTTGTTTTTTTTGAGACTGAGTTTCACTCATGTTACCCAGGCTGGAGTGCAATGGCGCGATCTCGGCTCACCGCAACCTCCGCCTCCTGGGTTCAGGCAATTCTCCTGCCTCAGCCTCCTGAGTAGCTGGGATTACAGGCACGCACCACCATGCCCAGCTAATGTTTTTGTATTTTTAGTAGAGACGGGGTTTCACCATGTTGACCAGGATGGTCTCGATCTCTTGACCTCGTGATCCACCCGCCTCGGCCTCCCAAAGTGCTGGGATTACAGGCTTGAGCCACCGCGCCCGGCAACTCTTCTTGATATTTAGTGCCTGAAGTATTTACGTTTCATTAGGGGTGAATAATATTTTATTTAAAACTCTGGTGTGAACAACCAGGGGTGTCTTATAAAATACTTTTTTACTTTGTATTTTTCATAAACATTCAGGAAGTATTAACTGTAGAGTTAAAATGCCTTAATAAAATAGTAAATAGAAATATTTTAAAATTTAATAAAACCTAGCTGTATTTAGTCTCATAAAATGTTCAACCTCCATAACATTTCATGAGCTATTATTTATGTATTGTATATCTACATATGTTTACAAATATAAATTTTCTACTTCACATGTAATTCATACACTTCTTTTAATGAACTTTGAATGGTAGGGTTTGTGGTTATAATCTTTTCATGTTATAGATCAGCAGTCTCAAAGTACCATCTGTGAACTACTGGACACTCCTGAGACACTTTCTAGAAGTCTGTGAGTTTAAATCTGTTTTTATAATAATATGATGGCATTATTTTCCTATTTCATTGTGTTGACATTTGCAGTGATGGCGCAAAAAGTCATGGTGTGTGAAACTTCCAAGCTTTACAATGAACCAGGGAAGTGACACCAATTGGCACTATGCTCATTGCAGTCTTCATCAGCACACAATCAGTTTTTTTTTTTAATGCCAGTTTCACTCAGGGATGTCCTGATGTAACAGCAACTAGAATTGATTTTATTAAATCTTCATCCTTGAGAACATTTGATATTTTAACCTTTATGTGACAAAATTGGAGTATGCATAGAGCACTTCCGTTGGGGGCACACAGAGAATTTATTGTGCAAGTAAAAGTACTAATGTAATTTATTCAGTTGCAAATGAATCTAGATGTTTTGTTCATGGAGCACCATTTTTTCTTAAATCAATGACAACCAGAAAAACTGGGATTATTGAGATCTGTATATCTGTATCCGACCAATATTTTCTCAAAAATAAATGAAAGGAGCCCGTCACCTCAAAGAAAACAATTTGTTGCCAGTGATAAAATTCAAGCTAGCAAGTAAAAATTAGAATTTTAGAAATCTTGTATCCACCACTATGAGTTCCTCAGCTTCTAATACCTAAAGACTTTTCTGATGAAACCATGATGATATTAACAGCTTTTAAAGATACTGCATGATGAAAGGTGTCAACATGAGGAGGATCTATAAGTTAGTGACTTTTCTGTATGATGAATGAATGATTTTTGTAAAATCATACTTGATAAAATATCTAGTCAAAGTACAAGTTAAACCAATGGATTTTAATTTAATAGAGTTCAAAATATCAATTGATATGCTTACAGATTTCATAGTGTAACTAAACCCTAAGGAACTATTGCTTGTCAAATTTTGATGAAGTATCAAGGAAGAATACATGAAATATCCAAAAAGACTTAAAATATTATCTCCTTTTCCAAATAAAAATCTATGAGAACCTGTATTTTCTTTATATACTTCAACCCAAATAATATAGCTCAATAGATTCAAAGCAGAAGCAGATATAAGAAACCAGTTGTCTTCTGTTAATACAGACAATTAAAAGGATTTGTAAACATGTAAACCATGTCGCTATTCTTGCCAAGTTTTCTGGTTTGTTTTAGAAAACATATTTTTCACAAAAATATATTATTTATGTTTACATGGAAAGGGTTTGTTACTGTTATTTTTAAATAACTATATAAACAAAATGTTTTTTATTAGAAAAAGAAATTGTTTATTTTAGAAAGAAATTTATACTATGGACTAATTCTTCAATGTGAAATTATAAAAGTACATTATGGAATTTTTAGTATCAGGGAAATAAGGGTTAAAATGGATCACATGCTACTGGAGAAATTTTGTTTTCCCTCTCCCCAGCCTCCTCTCCATTTCCTGCTTTGTGTTCTTATTAAGTAAACTACTTTAACGCTGTAGAAGATAGTTCTTGATGACAAAGTGACACTTCCCTTGTTTCTTTTGATTGAGAGAAGGCCTGGGACTTTCATTAGTCCCTGATTAGAGTTTTCAAGGCGTCCAACTATTGATTGCATAAAATTCCTTTCCTGTCATTTTCTGTAAATGTACACAATAGCTACTAACACATCCTCCTCCAGAGCTCACACTTTGTTTTCTAGGAGGAAGACAGATATTCGGCTAGCAATCTGACCTTTAGAATTCCTACATGATGTTAAAAAAGAATTGTCTGTTACTTAAAGATTTTTTTCTACCTACAACAGAGCTGATATTTAGAACTGAAATTTCCTAGTAATTATAGCACATTTGAGTAAATATTTATCAAAAATATCCAATTATTGCTTATTTTTAATTATGAGGTGACAATGGGCTTGACACCTGGCACAAGGCGAGCACTTAAAAACCACTTACTGATTTTTAAATAATAATGATAATTAGAGTTCCTAGTTAGGTACATTAGTGCTTGCATGTATGTTAAGGACGCATAAAGGTTTATGAACTCTTTAGGGTCTAAAGGGTAGTAGCTGACCATATGTGAAAAAGAAGCTGTACAATCAACCTTTCTGGATGTCTTACTTCCTGTAACTGTTTAAGATAAAATTCACAGCCTAATGACTTACAGTTTTCACATTCACGTTTTGGATTTCTATTTAGAATTGCTTTTGCCTCAGCTTCTTCTTCTGTTAAATATAATAATACCAAAGTAATCTACATGAAAAAGATAATGTGGAATAAGAGTTTGCAATTAAGATACTAATTCTACAATCCCTTCCACCAAAAAACAAATCAAAATCATAATAAAATTAAGAAATGATACATATTCAGGCTTCAGTTTAAAGTAGAGGTAAGAACAGAAGACTGGAGAACAGAGACCAGAATGTGAGCTTCAGTTCTGATCCTTCTGCTTTCCTCATTTGAAATAGGAATAAAAATATTTGTTATAACATCTCATCACATTCCTGTATAAAAGTGCCAATCACACTGTAAAAGCTCTACAGCTAGTAGCTATGATTGCCATGGCTCTTTTCTTTACCTATTCAGTTCTTTCCATTCCTCAAGACACAGATCAAATATTCTTTTTCGGGAGAACTACTGGGTCCATGGTACAACCTAAATGCCTCATTTTCTTTTGAGCTCAGCTCCTGTTGCACTTACAATTACGTCAGATTTGCTAACTTTCTTATGACTTCATTTAAATAATGACTACATGTTTAACTTTTCCTATATTCATTGTCTCTCAAATTAGAATGTATGCTCCTTAAAGGTATCAAAAATTTATTTTTCCTTGGGTATTTTTTATCATGTAGTGTCTTCTACATAATTAATGCACTATTAATACTTGATTATTATATAAATGACAGGCTTCATGAAATGTTCAAGAGTTCCTAAGACATTCTCATGGAATTATGTAAGAAACCAAAGAAGAAAATAACTTTGTAGAATGTTGTTATTGTAAAATAACTTTGCATTTTTTGGAAGAGAGATAAATCACTGTACTTTGGAGTTAGAAAGAACTAAACAAATCCTCTGGCTTAAAATTTTATGTTATAGACGAGAAAACTGGAACCTCAGAGAGTTTTCTATATTAGCCAGAATCATTATATTAAAAAATCACTGGCCAAGCATGGTGGCTCACACCTGTAATCCTAACACTTTGGGAGGCCTAAGTGGGAGGATCACTTGAGCCCAGGAGCTTGAGGTCAGCCTAGGCAACATAGGAAGACCCTGTCTTTAATTTACAAAAATAATAATAATAAATAAAAATTATTAATTTTCATACTAGACACCTAGCTATCATTTCATAATTTTATGTAATCATTTAAAATACATTTTCAAATAAGCAGAATTGGTCTAAATGTGTGCCTCATAATAGACACATATGAGTTCTATATATTACTTGAGGTTTCTTACCATTTTATTCTTAGTTGTCATTAACTCTATCTATTGAGATAACTTGTTGATTACAAATATTATCTTCCTTAAAGAGAAAAATCATGTCTACATCTATTTTTCTTTTCTGAAAATGTTTTTTTAATGCTACAGGTATTAATGTGGTCTTTTCTTAAACTATGGCAAAATATTTGTTTCTGAAAATTTTGTGAAGGGTAATGCAAGCATAAAGGAAAAGTTGTTATTTTATATATGTCACTTTGAGCCAGAAGGGAAACAGGACTAGGAGATATAATCCTGGATGGTTTATAGGGATAAAGAGTCATGCTAAGAAAACCATTGTTCCTAGGAATAAGAAAGCCATCCCTATTATGTGTACATCTATCCGCCATATAACGGACCATCAGATTCATTACAAAGTTAGACTTGAGATTCTAGCAATCCCTTTCTATGCTACTGTGCTCAATCTATGTACTGAAGCCATTCAAAACACAAAAGCAATGACATACCTCAGCAGCCTCACAGGAGAGTAACCTGTCTTATAATTTTATGCTACAGGTATTGATGTAGTCTCTTTTTTTTTTTTTTAACTATGGCAAAAGATTTTATTACACATCCAAAAATTAAGAAGGGAAGTGTACTGTTATTGTTTTTGTTTTTTTATTTTAACTCAAAAATAGTGTCAAGATCAATAAGCCTACTTGTAAAGTAATACCTTTTAATAATATATCAATGTTTGTGGTGTTACAGAGCTCAAAAGGGTCACTTGAGCTTGTGACCACAGACCGTGTCAAACATTTTGAATCTGGATTGAATGCTCTTTCCACAAGATTACAAGCATGTCCAGACATCACTTATTCATTTAACAAACAGACATTGGACATCTGCTTGGTGTCAGCACTGTGTTAGGCACTCTGTATTCCCTCAGGCCTTACAGAGAGAGGGAGGCTGGAAAATAAAACATACATTCAGCTCAAGGGAGGTGGGATAGGGGATTGTTCCCAGGTGAGCCTAGAAACATAGCATTGTATATTCTGCAGAAAAGTTGGCAGCCAGAGCAGGATCCGTGAAATAAAGCAACTGAGTTCACTTTCAGCTCTCACATGAACTCAGTGAGAGAATTTAAAAACTGCTGTAGTAGGAAGGACACTGAATGGAGGCTTTAGAATAATGGATTCAAGTCCCAGCTTTGACATTTATTGCCCATTTTTCTTGCCCTTAGGGAGTGGTGCAATGCAACCTAACCTCTCTAGGTATCATCTTCTCAACTGATAATGTAACAATAAAATCCTCTCTATACAGCTTACACAGCTGTTGTTGGAATTAAATAAAGAAATCAATGTAAAAGCTCTTTATATATTTTTAAACATGCTACAAACAGCAAAGTCTTATTCTTCAAGGACAAGACGATGAACTCTACTACTGGAATATTACTTAACCAAATATTATTGCACACATGTATCTTACAATTACTTTTCATGAAGTTAAATATTTAAAATGCTTTATGTTAGTTTGGTTTAATAAACTGCTAATTTACCAGTTTTGTTTGCCAAATGTATGTCCTTACTGGTGATCATAAAAAAAAATGAAAAGTAACATTCTGAAATGCAGAAATTTTAAGTGTTAATAAGGTATATACATTGAAAACATTCAACATTACATGCAATTAAAAAATAATGGAAATGCTATTTTTGATATTCTATGTTAAAATTAAAAAGTGAATTTAGAAGAGAAAATAATAAAACATGTTCAGTTTCTAAAAGAAGCAATTTAAAAAGCATTTGGTATATAATGCACAATGATTAGCTTTGTATAAAGCATGTAAATGGTGCAATTACAATGTACAGTATAAAAGATAGTTTCCTGTGTTTTCCATCAAATCATCAACATTTGGCCTTAAGAGAAATTGTAGGAACATTTAGAAAAGATAAATACATTCATTTGTAGTGTGGCTTGTACAAAGGAAAACATGTCAGGTGGAAAATGATTGCCCTTTTCTGATGATTTCATTGATTGACGTGCAAAGTGCTTTTGACTATGGCAAAAGAAGCTTAGCTCAAATGTGAAATGCTTGACTGTTTCATTTGGAACATGCATTTTTATTTTGCAGCCACAGCAAAAGAGATGAAATTCTGTCTGGTGAGTGTAAAAGGGAAAGATAAGCCCTTATATCAAGAGTTTCTGCTAACCTTGCTATATTTAGTATCAGAAATAAAGTGGAGATTTGCAGCTCACTGAATTCTGAAGCCAAGAAAATGAGATAGAAGAAAAAAAAATTAAAGAAAAACTACACACATTCTGTTTTAGTAATCTTGTCTGCTTCTAGGGCACTAAATAGCTATATAATAAGACTAACTGCTAGACAGTTTTAACAAACAGTATTAAGTTATTAGGTTCATGCCATATCTTATACACACAGACATATTTTTTTCTTGTGGCTTTATTGGAGATTGAAATTTCAGTCTGATAAGAGGTCTCCTAAATGTAATATTGATCAAGTTAAAAGAAAAATTTCCATCCAATCTTCTTCTTTCCCCATTCAACTGCATTTGAATTAAGTTTACTTCTGTTTGTTTGGTATAAGGATATTTTAAGTAATCCTATACTAATTTGGAGAATAAAACAAACTGAAATGAATTTGAGGGTATGATAAATCTGCATTATATTCTCGATTTCGTGCATCCACATTTCTTTACATTTATAATGTTAGGTATTCCTCTGAGCCTCAGTTTCCTCACTAAAACTGGAAAGTTAACAATTATCAGTCACAGTTCCTAGTTGTAAGAACCAGACTTTGCCTGATTAATGAGAAAATTAGGCTCACGATATAAGAGACAATTATGGAGTGCTTTATCCCTGTCATTGAGTCTTCTGAATATTACATACTCAGCAAATTCCCACAATATTATTATTCCCTTTCACAGATGAAGAAATGAAGACACTCAGGGACTAACTTACCCTGGGTCATAGGAACTAGAGAGCTGGGATTTATTTTCAGTCATTCTAGCCCCAGGGCCTATACTCTTAACCAATACTCCAAATTCTGTCTCTAGTTTATTGTTACAATATTGGGTGTTCACAGAAATATTGGGGGTGTTGAAAAATCAGACTCAAAACATAGCAGCCAGGAACAATGCACAATGCATTGTGCATCTCATTGCTGTGGTCACCAACCTAAATTCTAAGGCTGCAGGCTTGTACCATTACAATGTAACACACAAAGAGCATGGATTTTTTACAACTTCTACCTCTCCACTGTCAAGGCCATAAGCAACCACTGTTACTGCTGCCACCTCAAAGAAAGAAAGGCAAACTCCCCATCCTGAGTCAGGCTCTGATTAGGCGGGCGTGAGGTTGGGAGCTGGGAGGGAGGCTGGAGAGACAGCTTCTAGCTTGGTCAGCTCTTCTAGCAGTGGAGTGATCATGGCTCGTTGCAGCCTTGAACTCTCGGGCTTAAGTGATTCTTCCACCTCAACTTCCTAGGCAGGTGGGACTACAGGCACCTGCCACAATGCTTAGCTAACATTTTTCTTCTTCTTCTTCTTCTTTTTCTTTTTGTGTAGAAACAGGGTCTTACTATGTTGCCTAGACTGGTCTCAAACTCCTGAGATCAAAGACCCTCCCACCTCAGTTACTCAAAGTATTGGGATTACAGGTATAAGCCACCACACCTGGCCCAGGAATTTTCAGAGAAAGCCTCTTATGTTGGAAAATCTAAACAAGTAACAAAATTCCACTTTAACTCTTCTAAAGATGAACATAAATATTGTATATAAAGTACTAATGGTTTAGTAATGCATTGTAATTGTTCTAGTATCAGCCTACCTGAGTTAAAACCTTAGTTTTTTCTCACTAGTTGTGCTACTTTAGATAAATTACTCCACCTCACTGAGCTAATTGCCTCATTGTAAATTCCTGCGAGTGTTAAACAAAATAAAGTTGGTAACTAATTAGTTATATTTAAAGCACTTCAAATGTTCATATAAAGTAGAGCTAGCTGTATCTGCTATTAAAATAACTGGTTAGCTAAAAAATGAAAAATGTCCATTAGCAGATAAATAAAGACAATATGACAAATACCTACAATTGGGCACTATTCAGACTGAAAAAGAATGAAATTCTGTAATGTTCCACAACATAAATGAACCTTGAGGGCATTATGCCGACTGAAATAAGCCAGTCACAGAAAGGCAAAAGTGCATCATTCCACTTATAAGAGGTATCTAAAGTAGTCTAATTCCTAGAATCAAAGTGTGGAATGGTGAATGCCAGGGGATGGGGGAAATTGAAGTTACTAATCAACAGGCACCAAGTTTCAGTTAAGGAAAATGAATATGCTCTAGAAATATGCTATAAAACATTGTATCTGTAGCCAACAATAATGTATTATACACTTAATTTCTTGAGAAGTTCATTTTCAAGTTAAGTGTTCTAACAACAATAAAACAAAATAAAAAGTATTAATGTACTGATTTTTATCAGTTGACAAAATTTTTTGGATTCAGGTAAGTACAAAGTTTTTCTTTCAACAATTAAGAAAATTCCATTGAAAAGTCAGATCTATGTGTAAAATTGATACTTTAAAATTTAAAGAAAGAAAATATGATTGTACAGTAGGCAAACTTAGGTTTGAAGTTACTATTAAATCTAGAGCTAGGTACTTTCTCAAAATACCTGGCATAGTAAAACCCAAAATACGTAAGTGTCTTGGAACTGACAGAAGTCAAAACATAATCCAGAAATGTAAAGTTTTTTGGTTCCTCTCCTATAGTAGAAAAAAAAAGCATGGAAATCTGAATGTATTATACACCAATTCTTATACAAATATAAGTAAATGTTCAATTGAAATGACACATCTCTCTCCTGGAGAAAGCTTCTGCTTGGTGTGCTATTGGGCACTGTCCATGGCTTTGTTCTGCTAAGTGTTTACATCAGTAACTTAGATGTACATACATAGGACATTCTTATGAAACACAGGCCGGATACAAAGCTGGAAGTGCCAAAGAATAAGATACTCTACCTACTGCAGGCATTCAACATAAATAGATGCAATTGCTTAAACAGGGATAAATTAAAAGTCCTGTGTTTATAAGCAAAGAATCCAATTTCACAAGTACACAAGATGTAAGGGATGGCTTAAGCTGTTTGGATGCAATGCTGATAGACTACACAACAACATTAAGCAGAGTACAAAAGTCCAGATTCTAGAACCTAACTTGAGAACTGTGGTGACATCGTAACCGACCGAGAGGCAAACAAACTTCAAACCATCGAAACATCAAAGCACACTCTCCAGAGGAAATGGAAAACCCAAGCCTATTTATTTTTTTAAAAATGGCCCCTCAGGCTTCTTCTGAACTATGTAGGAGACAGAAGAGCAGCCAGGCCAGTGGTCAGATACCTAGGGGACAGGGAGGTACAGTCCACAAAAGAGGGCTGGCCAGAACATTAGGCACTCGTTCCATTCACTGAAGTTCCAGATAGGATCACAGTCCTAAAGATTAGGTTAGGATATTGGCATAGTAACACCACAATACAGTAGAAACCAAAACCTCTTTATATAAGTAGGGCCAATGTAGGTGATGGAATTGTGAAACCTGCAACTTAATTGCACATAAAATAACCTGGTATCATCTCTGAGTGAGCAGTAAAAATAACAACAGCAACAAGAGCAATTATTTCTCTTCATTAGCTGTTACTATGTACTAGGCATTCTACTAGATATTTTTACATTTGTTACCTAATTATTGCTCACAATAATAGTAGAAGATAAGCATGAGATTCTCCATTTCCATGTTAGAAAGATGAGATCAAGTAACATGCCCAAGACTTCACAGCTCTAGCAGATCCAGGATTCATTTGGTCTACACGGTTCCATGAACTTTCTAGTAAGCAACTCGGTCTCTATCTCATTAGCCAAAATTGAACTCATATGATGACTTAGAAGCCTGGCACCATGACTAGACTTCCAGATCCTTGATCTGAATGAGTGACTTAGTTGTGAGCCTCATAGGTAGGCAGAAAAGCACAAATCCTTAGGAATAAGGTAGGTCTGAACCAGCAAATTGAGGACCTCAGTGCCTCTTTGTGGGATAGCTGAGGAAAGACAAAAAACATTTTCTCCATCAAGAAAACTGTAAGGAAAAGACATGGCTAATTGTCAGGATCTATAAAACAAACTTGAAGGCAAAACAAGTAAGCGTTACATGCACTAACTCTTATGTTAAGGTGCTTTAAAAAGTGCATGTGAAATTAGTTCTCATTAATAGAAGAACTAGTGAGCCACACTAAGGAAAGTCATGCGCAGAGCCTGCTGATTTCCTATTCAATATCCATTCCCAGCTGGGTTTCCTTGTGATTGTAATCCCAACTTAGTTGATGGTAGAAATGCATCTTACCAAAAGTAAGGTTTCCCTGACTTTTTTGGAAAATATGGGCATATAACATGGGTCTGGTCACAGACAGTTGTAGGTGCAGATCTTCTGGGCATGTTCACGAAAGTTTGCCTTTCAATATAGGCACAGTATTGAATATAGTTTCCAATATGGGCACAATTGCTTTCCTGTTATTTTCTTCTTCTTCCTTCTTGGAATGAAGATGTGAAAGAAGAATGGTCAGTCATCCCATGAACATTAGATGCCTGTGAAGGTAAAAATCACATCCAAAGGATAGTGATCCTTGGATAGAAAGAGCTTACTGGGTATTAACAACATTGAGAAATTGTTGCATCAGCGCTGGGTTGCCGTAATATGAAACATCCTGTTAAGTGAAAAATTTTTTTAAGCCTCTAGAGTTATATTTCTGCTGAATTGAGGGGATCTCGAGAAAACAGGATGGATTTCTAGGATCAAAGTTTTAAAGAGAAATTTGAAAAAGATACCCCATGTCTTTTAGGTTCCAGAGTTTCCAATAAAGAAAAAAAAATGAGTGTTAAGCCTGTATTTTTCAGGCTCCTGAAAAGCATTTAAAATTCTCCTTTGGTCACTATTGTTTTTTAATATCTTAAAATGTTTAAGTGAATATATCTTTATTTATGTTGTGTGGCTCTTAGCAGCTCATTTTAAATCAAAGACTTAGGTCTTATTTAAGCCTTAACAATCATTTCTTCTCTTCATATCACTAGTTTAAGTCTTCTGGATCTCTCATCAGCAAATATGGAAATTTTCTAATCTATCTACAAAGTCAATTAAGCCTCCCTCATATTTTACATCTCTTCTTGTTAATTGTTAGTTTTGACTTTGTATTCTGAGACTTCCTTGATTGGTTCTTGTAACACATGAATTCTCTTCTCAGCTACGTTCATGCTGCTCTTGTCTGCTAATAAACTTTTATTATGGAAATCAGATGAATTTACAATGTCGATAGCTGATGTATTTTGGTAGATGCAGTAGATTCTCAAATCTCTCTAATAATACCATTTGGAAATCTATTTATTCATATCAACTACATTTCTCTTATGTACTTTAATGTTATTTAGTTTGTTCAGTTTAATCCTTTTGCAGTGTTATTTTTCCTCAAGCATTTGGTGATTTGTGGTGTTCCGGTCATCTTCGCACTAGAGGATTCCTGATGCTGATTGTGGATGGATGTCAGTTCTGAGGGTTGTTTGAAAGGAAGGGCAGTTAGAGCAGGCTACTAATTGCACTGACCTTGGCTTCATTTATGGCATCTAAGAACATGAAGTGGGAATGCAGATGGTTATATTTGTTTTTTTTTTTTTTTTTTTTTTTTACCTCATGATGCAGTATTCTAAATGGATTATCTGATAAAGTTCCATCTTGAGCACTAATGAATTCGCTATGCCTGAAATAATTGAGAGATTGGTTGCACAGCAATTTGTTGATAGGCTTTCCTAGGAGTTTAGGAGGCAAGAGAAACAAAAGAAAAGAATAAAGGGTAATGTTCAAAACCTAGGATTGAATCCCTATTTTGCCCAATTAAATGCCCTTTTACAACTCAACCTATCTCCTCTGAATCTTTGTAAATCTGTAAAAAGAAAATTATAATTCCTACAAGAAGAATTAGCCCTGATAATAGACTAACGTATATAAACAAATCTGGATTTTAACAGCAAACATTAAATTATAACTCCTAACATTAGTATAATGCTAAAAAATTCATGAATCATAAGACAGTTTGACAAGATTATAAACAGAAGGACACACATTCCAACTTTTCTTGATCTTGATCAGTCTTGGTTTATACCTGTTTCTCTAGGAAAGCTTTATTAGCTAACTCTTTCATTCAACAAAGTATCCTGGTTTGAAAGACTATGCATTGTATGGTAATCTTCACATTGAATACTCCTCAGCTTCTTGATTCAAATGTCTTTAACAAGACTTTGCCTATAAGAGTTGAACCAACCTTGTTCCTAAGCAAGTATAGTCATATAACTTCTAATTGAATAATGTGTGGGAGCAGCTAAGTGGTCAGGTGTTCAATCGGACAAGCATAGATTGGAATCTGGACTTCCATGTGTATCAGCTCTATGAATGTTGACCAGGACTCAAACTCTTTGAGCCCCAGTTTCCCCTTCAGTAAAATGGAGATTTATAAAATGGTTTGAAGACAAATGAGCTAATGTATATTCAATGATCACCACATGGTTAGACATATATTAAATGGTTTAGCTATTTTCTACAAAAGATAGAACACAGTGTGGAATTTGTTGTAGATTTTGGCAGTTTTTATTTGTGCAAGTTAATTTTGGTATCTACATTTGTATTACACTATTTTTACCCCAATGTGAAGTAGATCACACCTTTCCAACTTATTAATGCTCTGTTTTAGAATTCACATACTATTATGTTGAGAGGAAAATAATGGTAGGAATCTTACTGTCATGTTCATGAGGGAAAAAAAAAAGAAGCTAAGGATTTGTCTACCAAAGCCCAAATGTTTCCACTTCTGTTCAATTCACAACCCAGATGAGATTGAAACAACAGGGTCATTAGAGTCTGCAGAGGAAGAAAATTCCATGTTTAGTTCTGATTTATTGATTTCTTCCTTTATTCCAGTTTCTGGGTTTAAAATGTTAGTGACTGAAATGGTTTTGTTGACATTTCCAATAGAGGTCCCATGCCCTCAAAGTTGCACACTATTTAAACAGGAAATATGCCCTTTTAGCACTGAAGTAAACACAACTGGCAATGAACCACCTGCAGGCAGCTTTCTAACAAAGCCCCTCAAACCATGACTTTCCTGCCCCATGGGCCAAGGAAGGCACACATAGCCATGAGAAGAAAAAGCCGACTCTCATTCCTATTTGAACGAACCACTCATATTTGCAATTTGTAGACTGTTGATAAATGTCATTGCTCCAAGGTCACCCCCAGGGTGTTTGTGACTTTTATCTTGCCAGTCATCCTAGCTATTTTTCTTTCTCTTCCTTTTAAGAAGTTTTTATCCCTAATTTTCACATGTTGTTTATTAACAAAACATGTACAAGGAATGCAGACTCTTTCTATATTTCAAACATTTCTGGCCTTCAAGGATGGGAGAAGAATTAAACAAGGGAGAAGGCTAGCTTCCAGCAATAACACAGCTTTAACAAATACATGAAATATTTATAGAACACATAAAGAACAAAGGAAATGGAGCACTTCCTCTCTATGATTTCTTTCAGTGTTTCTGTTAACCTGGTGTTTTGCCACTACTTTTTTCCCCCCTGAGATATCTATTGAGCAACAATGAGTGAGAAGTACCTGGTCAATGTACTTTCAATATACTTTCTCTCCCACATTTTAAAGGAAGAATCTCAGATGCTAATGATGATTGCATTAACATTTTCATTCCGAGAAGACTGTTTTTCGGAGGCAATACACTGAGAAATCACGGCCTCTAGTAAGCTGTAACTATTTGGAGAAATCATCTAATTTTAACCTCGATTTTTCAAGAACAACAACAAAAACTGCTGAAATATTACAATTGCTATAAAAGAAGCCATATAAAGTGAGAAACTGGCAGAGTAATTTTCTTAAAGTAACAAAGACAGTGTCTTCATAGTTACAGCCTACTTCTAGGGTTGCTCTTACTTCCATATAACTTAGTATAAAAGTATTTGCAAACAGAATTATTTATTTAATTGGCCACAGAAATTTTTGTTTTTGTGATGAGAAACAGAAAAGGAGAGCATATTAAAGATCTGCATCTGAAGTAATCACCCAATATAGTAGCATTGATGGGTGTTATAACTGAAACAGGAGAGTTCCCTGACCCCTCTTGCAGGGCCCCTGATAGGGGTGTGGCTCTCTCCTGGAACCCTGTGAGCTCAAACCCCTTTTGGGCAGGGGAGCATGTAGATGAGCAGGTGCAGGAGCCAGGGTGAGTGCTTTGAGCTCCAGCCCCATAGTAGTGTCTAGGGGCATGTGCTTGTGACCCTAGTGTTAAAATTCTCTTTTAGCTCTGCTGTCCACAGATGGCTTAGTATTAACCAGCTCAGTGCACCTTCTGTCTTTCTACAAGGGAAATGGCCAGTGTGACACTTTCTGTGTCTCAAGCGTCCCAGGAGTTATCAAGTCACACACAGACTCGAAGAGTGGTGAATGTTGGGGCTTTATTGAGTGGTGAAGGTGGCTCTCAGTGGGATGGGTGCAGAGGTAGAAGGGGGATGGAGTGGGATCTTCCCCTGGAGTTTGGCTGTTCAGCAGCCAAACTCCTTTCTGACTGTCCCAGTTGAACTCCTTTTGGTTCTCAGATGCTCCTTCTTTTTCTCTGTTGTGCCATTCTGCTATTCATCTGCTTGTCTTCTTGTCTCCACATCTCCCTCTAGAGCCTGGGGTTCAGGGTTTATATGGGTACAGGATAGGGTGTGGGCCAAAAGGCAACTTTTGTGGCACAAAAACAGGAAAGCCTGTCCTTATTTGGGGTTCCAGGTATCCAGGAGTAAGGGTGGGGCCTTTGCCAATGAACCACCCTCTTCTACCCAGTATTTTCTCTGTTTACTGTCTATATCATTACTACATACAGTTCCTCATATTACTTTCTCAAAGTTACATCACTTGCTTTATCTTTCCAACATTTGGGTCCTGCATTACGCAGTGTCATTAAAGTGCTATTTAATAACTGATTTTTACAATGCTAGTTTACATTTATTGTACCAGGAGCTGTGCTAAGTGTTTTATATATAGCATCTCATTTCACATTCACAGTAGCCTTTTGATATTGGTAAAAATATCAAATATAAGAACACCAAGATTTGAAAAGTTCAGGTCTTTTGACCAAGCTGGGAGGAAGAAAGGCTTAGATCTCCCTGGATGTTCTGACTCCACTTGTATTCCCACCCCAGCTGGGACAATGATGTAACTTTAGATTGTAGCATTTCCTGTTTCCTCTTCTAACAAAGTAAAATGTGACCATCGATTCCGAATAGTTTTTCTGAACATTGAATTTAAACTGTTCAGTGTGTGTGTGTGTGTGTGTGTGTGTGTGTGTGTTGGATATACTGACTTAAGGCAGTGGCTAGGTATGATAGCTCTTGCTTATAATCCTGGCACTTTGACAGGCCAACGCAGGAAAATCACTTGAGCCCAAGACTTTGAGGACAATCTGGGCAACATAGGGAGACCTCTTTCTCTGCAAATAATAATAATAAATTAGCTGGGTGTGGTGGCACATGCCTGTAGTCCCAGCTACTCAGGAAGCTGAGGCAGGAGGATTGGTTGATCCCAGGACGTCAAGGCTGCAATGAATAATAATTGGGCCACTGCATTTTAGTCTGGGCGACAGAGCAAGACCCTGTCTGGAAAAAAAAAAAAAAAAAGAGAGAGAGAGAGAGAGACAATAGTAAGTATCAACATAGTGTCGATTCTGGAATCCATATGCAGCTACCAGTGGGAAACAGCCTCCTAGAGCCCCACTTCTATTTTGTGGATCTAGCCCCCACCCCACTTCCTCTGAAGACCTTGCCTATGCTGCTCAGTTTGTTTGGGAGCAGATCATTTTTCACTTACAAACATTTTCTCCACATGTGGTATTCAAATCATGGACTGTTACAAGAGATGTATATAAGCCAGGGCAGTAGTTTCAGAGAATAGAAAATATGGCTTCATTTTAGCAAACAGCTTAGAGAAGAGTTCAGCATGGAAGAAAAGATATTAACTGTACAAATATTGCAATTAGAAAAGTAGTTTAAATAAAGCAATTTTAAACAAATTTGGTTGACTGTAAGGACATGATAATCTAAGTTACATTTCTGGACACATAAAAAATCTATTATAAACTCATTCACACAGAAAATACATACATACATATTCACTTATTTTTGAATTAGTCTACTGTATGACCTAAGGAAATGTTACTTTTATTTTGGCAAAGAACATTGTTTTAAATTTGGCAACCTACTTTCTCCTAATTCTATTAAAACTAGATGATCCCTTTACAATGCAATGTGTTTATATAATATGAGTGATCACTTCTTTGTTCAGTTCAGTCTTTTCTCCTTATGCTTAGTCTCAACTCTGCCTTGAAAATAATAAAGAGCACATGTTGGCTGCTTGGAGCCAGACGTCTAGGCGACTCCTATCATTTTTATATTATTGGTTTGCTGGTTGTAATTGGCTTTATATAAATGAACTTTCACTTCATACCTCCTTTCCCTTTAAGGCTCAGATTTAAAAAGCTCCTTCATGGACCTTTCCAGAACCCCAAGAACTATTACCCTTTCTAAGCCTCAGTTCCCATAGCTGTTGGTACCTCTTTAAAAGCTCGTGGTATAATTTGTCTTCTATTATTTTTGAGAAATTTTATATATATTCTCTTATCAAGTAGTATGAATACAATATATGGATA